TGTAGCTGATGCTGTAGCAGCTGCAGGTAAATAAGAAGCTGTTGCAGCAGCATAAAAATCAGCAGGTGATAGTGGTGAATATCTATAGAATAAGAAAGAAAAGATATTTTATTAAATAAAGTTTTTAAATTCATTAGTTTTTTTTATCGATACGGTGACAACGAAACAATACACTCACCGATATTTTGATCGTTCATGCGTTTCTCTAGGCAAAATAATGCAAATAATAAAACAAAAAAAAACTATTTTGCAAAAAAACAAAAATTTAGCAGAAAAATTATATTTCCCGCTAATAAAATATATATGTATAATGGGAGCAGCATACCTGTACCTATTCAATGATTGACGAATAGGTGCTACAGTTGTAAGTACAGTTTGTTGTTGAGGTGCTGGAATACCGGGTAAATAAGATGGTGCTAATGGTAAACCAACCATTGATTTAGCAGCATTTGGCGTATTAGCAAATTTAACAGTTATTGGATCTGTAAAACCTGTAAAGCATAAAAAAATAAAGTCTTTATCTTAAATCTATATTGATTAGATGGGTGATAATTCTGTGTCACAAATACAAATTAGATCAATTTTAAAAACACATTTGATGAAGCCCATCGAGTCGAATTTGGATACTATACAAAGACGAAATCAGTGCTTTATCTAGCGGGTGGACTGAGTGGGCGGCGCCCATCCGAAATTTCGATTCGCCCACTCAAAAATCGAGACTTAGACAAAGCTCTGTTAGGCGGCGCCCACCCGACAAAGAAACTTGGATAAAACACACTGGACGAAATCGATATTACTCTAGACTATGTTCATCTTTATAGTATATGTTTGTTTGGTCAACTCTTTTGTCGTTTATTTTATATACATACCTTTTGGAATAGTACCATTAAGTTTACTAATAGCTTGTTCTGCTTCTGATCGTTGATCATAACGAATAAATCCTACACTTTTCGATGCACCTGAAAAGAAAATACAAATAATTATTTTATTATATAAAAATTGTATGAAAACAAGAGATAAGAGAGAGAGAGCTTAGTAATGATACTTTTCTTTCGCAAGAGATCTCTATCTATAAACTTAACAGTGCACATGAAGATAAATAATATAAAACATAAATATATATTCTACCTGCTTTAGGATTGCAAAGAATTTTCGACGAAATAATACAACCAGAATCAGCAAATAAACTCTCGAGCTCCTGCTGAGTCATCGAACGTGGGAGATTTGAAATGTAAAGATTGGAAAATTTGATTGACTCCGAAGAGGGACGAGCAAAAGAAACCTGAAATAAATAAAATAATACAAGAAAACAAACCAATAAAATAATATAAGAAGAAAGAAACTATAATAGAACAACAGAAAAATAAAATAAGACAATAAGAAGCGGGTATGTGTGTGAACATATTGCTCTTCTTTCATTTTCTTAATCTTATAGCAAAATCGAAATAAGAGCATCTGAAAAATAAAACCTGTTTTCGACTTCATTAAAACTCGACTCGTAATGATCTTGCTATATAAAATAAAATAGATTTCAAACTCTTAGATTATATACTAGTAAATTTGATCGAGTTCGATGACAAACGCGCACAAGAGATCTATAGGAAACCTTATCTTTTTCTCAATGTATTAGATTTATGACACAGCAAACACTTAAACGAATTAAAAGTTTAACATTATTTACTTTAATTGTTTTATTTTGTAATCGAAGACCATTCATTGTTTTAACAGCTTTATCAGCATCTTCCATACGAATAAAATTAACAAAACCATAACCAAGACTTTGACCTAAAATATAAATAGAGCATTTCTTAAAATAGATTCGAATATTTCTGACCTAATTTTAGTACAGATTTTTTTGTATTACCTGTTGTTTTATCTCGTACAAGTTTACAAGATTCAATTGTTCCAATTGATCCAAATAAATCTTTGATTTCATCTTGTGTCATTGTTTGAGGTAAATAATTAATAATTAAATTTGTTCGCATTTTATCGGATACATTCGATTCATCATCAGCAAAACTTCCGCCATCAATTGATCGTGTTTCACTTCCGTTACCTTGTTGTCGATTAAATGCAGCCATTTCTCGATAACAAAATTCGTCGTCGTCTTCGTTTTGATCTTCTATTATTCGTTGATTTTCAATTGATGTTGGTTGGGATGAAATAGGAACAGAAGAATTGGGATCCAAGACCTATGAGAAAATCAAAAGGATTTATTATTTAGAAAAATATATAATTAAGAACTGAAATAAAAAAAAAAGAAAATTTTTGCTTGATTTCTGTACCTTGTAAACATACCAAGATCCGATCATCGTGTTGTCTATATGAGAACAATAAGAATAGAAAAAAAAATCGACGACCGGAACCGGCTGATGCCATGCCGAGCTGACGCTTTTGTCTCTTTTTTCTCTTTAATTCTCATTATATCGGCCCCTCTTTCATATTCGATAATTTAAAAAAAAATAAAATCATAGACAGACAGAGAAAGAGAGAAAAATAATTTATTGATTACAATGAATATTTCATTAATAAGTGTGTAGTTAATATGTATGTTTCGTTCTTGTTCTGTTAGAATGAAGAGAGAGAGAGAGAACATGATGATGAAGTAAGAGTACTAGTTGATTTGCATAAATCCTATTAGACACTCGCTCATCCAGAATAAGAAGAGGAAGCAAATCAGTTCATCGGACGACAAGCTTGTTGATCAATACTCAACCGAGAGAGAGAGAGATGACGACAGGAAACAGATATTTCGTTTATTTTTTGCTTGACATTTGTGACGCTATCGTCAATTTTTTCTTTTTTCTCAAAAGAAAAAGAAAAGAACTGAACACATATATAGACACATGCAATGATTAGCATTTGTCCGACGAACTTCTCTATTTAGTGTCAGCATTCGGCTCATTGACTTCAGCTGTTCGCCTTTCGGCAACATATACACACATTTATTTTGACCAATTCCATTTTTCTTCTATCCTTTTGTTTATGTCACTGATAATAATAATATTTCTTTCATTTAGATAAAAAAAAGTTATAAGAAATATCCAAAATGTCTAGAAATCTGTACATTATCAATCGAGATAATCTTCTTTACTCTGTTCAATAATTAAATTAAACAAAAAACGAGATGATTTTTTTTCTCTCTTAAAATCGGATATATGATATATATTAAATTAAAAGAAAAGAACTATAATCATAAATTAAATTACCTGGAGCATTCTCATTTCTTACGCTAACCAAATGATAATACTTGTGATACGTAATAATAAATAGATGATAGGAAAAGAGCGATGATGACAGGAGAAAAAAGCCGTACACCAAAACTGATTTCTCGATAAACACATTGATCATACGTCCTTCGGCGGCACTACT